TACATAGATTGTCACCTTTATTATAGATTAACAAATGCTTTAAATTTCACTTCAAACCCTTGTTTTTTATGAACTATTTTATGTCCAAAACATTTTGATTTGATGTGTCTTTTTGTTTTCTAACAAAGGAGGGGATGCCATTTCTTTTAGTCCACGAAGAAGTCACTTGAGGAAGACAAAGAAAACTTTATTTAAATCATCAATATGTGCTACAGGAACTATGCAATGGTAAAGGGTAATAAGGAAATTATTTAATTTGGAATTTCACCTTACTCTTTGAGAATTTTCACAGTTTACTTTTCCCAAACAAAGTGATCATTCAGACCTGTCTGCTCATATCTGACGGGGGTTGACAACAGCCACTAAGGTCCCTTAGAGTCTCAGAAATTTTTTTTCTTATGGAAATTATGCTCAAAACATATTTCTCCATTGCCATGAAACATTGTCTATTTGTTTTCATTGTCAAATAACAGTGCTGTTTGGGCCATAAAGGTGCTAATAAGAGCATTTGTTTTGTGAGAGTCTAGCTTCTTTTTATATAAGACATAAACACAGTAAAAGTCTTCTTTTTCTTTTTTAAGACAGTGTGTGTGTGTGTGTGTGTGTGTGTGTGTGTGTGTGTGTGTAAACTCAACTGTACTAGAACTAGCTCTGTGGATGAGGCTGGCCTTGAACTCACAGAGATATTCCTGCCTTAGTCTCCCAAATTCTCGGATAAAAGGCATGCAGCAAGGGTCTTTAAAGAAGTTGAGGTTTGGGTTCATACCTACTGATGCAGTTACAATTTTCTCCTAGCTGTTACTTCTGCTCAAAACAAACAGCACAGGTTTGGCCACTATTTATATACCTGATGTATACCTTACTCAGAACCCCAAAGATAGATATATTTGACTGAGAGAATTATTCTGCTTTCCAATAAAGACAAGTATCTTCTTTGCATTCTATTTTGAGTCATAAAACACTTTCCCTCCCCTCTTCTTTTATTTAATTTATATGCCAGAGATTTTTCTGTTCTGAGAATGAAAGCGAAAGACAGGGAAGAAAGTAGACAAAGCAGAGATGATTCAAGTATGTGACATATTTTATATTTCCTCAGTAAAGTAAATTATATTTTCTCTTTCCAATAACCATCATTTCCCTTGGTCTTAGCATCACTCAAACCAGCTCCAGAGTCCTGTGTGAACTAATGTGTTGTCTGAAGATTCACAAGAGGAGAAAATGCTGCTGTCTGCATAGCCCATGCTAGTTGGACAACAGTGTTTAAACAGCTACGAATTACTGCGAATTTAAGAATGCCGTTTTGTTTTCTCATCACTGAGTATTTATTATATATAACAAATACATGGGAAAGAAAAAACTATATTGTGTGATATAAATAGTTTATTTACATTACAGAAAAACATCAAGACAATGTATACTATTTCAAATATATCCATACATAATCAAATATAGCTGTAGTACATGTTTTCATTGGTGTAGATTACCACAAACGCAAGGCAACATGTGTAGATCTCATCTTACTCTTTTGTCTCTAATACTGTATTGTGTAGTCCAAGCTGTCGGTTGTCCGGCCACTGGGAAACATGCTCCCTCTAGATTAACCTTGTGGATGCTCTTGTTGTGTTGTCTGAACTGTAGTGCCCTGTATTTTGCTTCTGTCTGTGAATTCTGTTGCTTCTGGGGCATTTCCTAGAAGGTTGGAAAGTTTACAGATCTTAGTCTAATGCAATTACCTAAAGTTTGGTCCTATATTCAAAGAGTGAAGCTGTAGGAGCAAATCACTAAAGTATCTCACAGCAAAAACCTGATTCCTAGTATAATTTGGGAATACTTGTAAAAAGTTATTATTATTATTTATTTATTTATTATTATTATTTGCTTCTCCTTGCAGTTGTCTTTAGGCTTCTGTAGAGAACTGAAGAACAGAAGTAGAAGTTGAAGAGAAATACTTTTACCTTGACCTTCACTGTTCATTCCTTAAGTCTGTTCATTATATTGTGCAATGAACAGACTCAGCACAATGCAAACAAAAGTCCCAAGCTTATCACAGCTCATTTTAAAGGTCTTCAACAACTTTATATCTAAATGTCTTAACGATGAGCGTTATATTGACATTTCGGTGCTATAAGATCCTATCACAGCGGAACAAACCAACTGATAACATCCGTTATGTAAATGGAAAGGAATATTGCTTAGGTTTAGCCTAATATCATTGTCTTGCATTAATGCTATAAAACTAGAGACAAAATTGGCACCAATCATGTTGCTTGTATAAGAGCTAATATTCAGTAACATCTGAAAATGGCTGATCTAGTATTTTTATTATAATAACATATTTCTTTGATCATGCAAGCAAGAGAAATATACAGCTAACACAAAATTATATTACAACTAACGGTGGTACAGTGAAAAATATGTGTATAAACATACATACACTTGCACACACATACACAGTAGGTGTGGGCACATTTTTGTGTAGTTGCTGGGGCCATATAGCTGTTAAAAACAAACATGAATATGGGAAGTCACATTTTCAAGAAGTGGGAGATAGAAGAAAAAAGATGAAAATCCACCTTCTCAATGGGACAACTCTTTTCATTTTGGAACAGGTTCTCTAGATATTCATATTTTATGAGATATTGCTCAGGAGGCAGATTCTTGAATAGACAGAAAAAAAGGAGAAACAAATTCAGGAGGAAATGGGTGGGACAGGAGAGAAAGAAAAGGGAGTTAGAACAGAGAACAGAACAGGCGAGACCAACATTAAGAGAAAATTGAAGACAATGGAGAGGTCAATGCTATGAATGATTCTATAAATTGTCTTTTGTCTGGATATTTTGAAATAGGTTTTGACAAACAAGGCTTGCCCAGGCTACCAGGAAAACAGGTCTCTCGGGGTTAAAGGTGGGCAGTTGGGGAGTCTGTTTCGTAAGGATGCTATTTTTGAACGAATGGAATTAATCTACCCAGGATAATAGTGTGACATATGGATTAATACTTTTCCTGGAAAGTGTTTCTAAGGTTTGGTTGTACAAGGGAAAGATTTATATAGTGCATTATGACAATGCAACCACGACTGCTGTGCTATTTCTCTTCCCTTAACGCAGATAGAGAATGAATTTTTGCTCAGCTTTAGTATGAAAAATAAGAGGAAAAAAAAGACACACACCTTGACAATATAATAGACATAGTTTACTCAAACTGGGGGCTTAGTATAGGTACTCAGTGACAGAAGAGCAGACAAAACCATGAGCAGCTAGGAGCAGAGGAGCAGTGTTAAATGAAAAGCTAAGGCAGTAGACAGACACCATTTTGATTTCATTACTCAGCTGTGTAATCTCAGTATTTGATGATATCCCATATTTTAGGGATCTGCCATGAAAGCAAGGATAACTGTTCATTGTTTTTCAATGTTGTAAAGTGTGTGTGCATGTGCATTTGTGCACTCAAACAAGTGAATGTATAAATATATGGCACAATTATAACATATAGACACACAATTCCTGGTAAAATAGTCTCTATTATATTTTTAAGTTACACATTGGAATGAAAAAATGTGATTAATTACTTATTGAAGCATTGAAATTTTGACTTTTTTCACTATATGAAACAGCAATTGAGTTGTTATTCTTTGCATATGAATACAAGTTTCATTTTTCTGTGTGCCCTGAACGATGTATAATACAGTTTTCTGTGTTTTAGATTCTTCTTTATCCTTTTTTTTGCTCAATACTTTTGATTTTCAAGTTGTCTTTATGTCCTCTGCTTTTATTTTCATATAATCCATTGGCTCACTTGACATCTAAACATGAGTGTCTAGATGATGGACTTGACATGGCTTAGGGCAGCATGAGCTCCAGTGATGATCTTCCCTTATGCCTGTAGGCCAGGTGAGGATTTATGAGCTATATTTTGCCTTTTTAAAAGAGCAGATCCCACAGTTGTCTTTAAAAAAGATAGTGTAAGAAGATGCCAAGTTACGTTGCAGTCTTTAAGTTTTAATTCCATAATGCTTTTTATTTTCCCATTTTTAGGGGAAATTTTGATTTACTCTAGAACTGTATAAATGAATGAAAGTCTTAATGTCTTATGAATCTGATGAAAATTTAAAGTTTCCTTGGAAATTTTTAAAAAGGAGTATATTCAGTTTTTCTTAAAGGATCTACATCGACATTTTGGATATTGCAGGACATGAATGATGCATTGGGCTTAGAGCCTAGTTCTTGCCTGCCATACGTTTGCACACTCAAGAGGTCCATCAAATCCCAGTCTTTGCTCCTCATCTCAAACTGAACCTCAGACATGACTCAGGAATCATGGTTCGATTTCCTGTTGAAAAGGGATGAAATCTCTATTCTCTTTCTATTTTATCACTGTCCAAATAAAAATTACCTTTTTCTGGGCTTGGAATTTGTTATTAAGGTGTGATATTTGCTGCTGTTTCAGAAATATATCAAAGGTTTTCATTTAGTGTAACACAATCTTTCTCATTACATTTATAATATTGCGATTAGCACTTACCATCTTGAAGTTAAAAAGTGTTGGCTGTTGATACCAAGTGTGTTAACACTGATGGTGCCCAAATGTTATTAGTGAGAACTAGAACTTAAGCATTTCTATACCTTATATAACATCTATTATCACATTTGGCATAGTGATTCCAGTAGGTAAAGGTACACTGGTTCACAGTCTGAGTGAAAAGTGGCTTTTTACAGATAAAAGAGAAGGATGTTTAAACAGAGGTTGCCATTATTTGTTAGAGGAGACAATAATCTAAGGAATAAAGAATCCTCATCACAATATGAAAATGAGTAAAATAAGTTGTGCCTGTCATGTAGGAAAACCCATGCCTTTCCATTTAGCTCTTGAAATGTTCTAATGGCGAGGAGCTAGGATTCATAAAGAATCGATGGCTACAGTCTGTCCACCAAGAGACTCAGAGTCAAAGGGAGGACCAGTGCTGCACTTAGCATGGGCGATGCTCAAGTACAATTACTGACCTTGTGATGCAGAGGACCACCACACATATGACAGCAATCTGAATTGTCCCAATGACAGCTGCAATCAAGACATACTGAAATCGCACAGGACCAGGAACAACGTAGAGAACACTGTAGTCCTTTTTTTCACAGTGTTGGCCAGTATAACCAGCATCACATCTGGAAAAAAGGACAATATATGGTAACTTGTGGCCCAGAACTCTTTCATTTTTATTTCTCTAACCTCAGCTAACACTTTTACATACTGCTTAATGACACAGTACAAATGAAAAATAAAGCTATTTGTTTTAGAAATTTTCTATGCTGTTGTTAGAGAAATGCTGAAAAAACATTGGGTCAGAGATAAAGCAGGAGTAATTTCTTAAGTCTGATGGCAATAAAGCCATTAGTTTTTAACAGAGAAATACTTTTGCAATTCTCTTCAAAAGTTTTGAAAAAAAATTTTGGTGTAGATGATACAGGTATAGAAACCAAGCTACCATGGATGTGCGCTTAGGATGAATTGTGCTTCTCACTCAACCTCCCAGCCAGAAGTTCAGATAAGTAATTTTCATTGATATGAAAATATACTAAATTGGACCAATATGTCATTGCTTTGTTGAAAGTCTCTAGTATTCAACTTTGACGTGCATTCTGTGAAAGGAAAGAAGTATAGAAGACAGCTGTAGATAAAAGATAGGCAGAGACTGAGAGAGACAGAGAGAGAGAAAGAGAGAGAGAGAGAGAGAGAGAGAGAGAAGCAGACATGGAGGGACAGGCAGAGAGTGCTATTATGGTAAATCTCTCTATACCATAATCAATTTATTTCATCATATGCCAGTTGTATATCATTTTAAATATAGATACATTTTCATTTTGATTTGCCATGTCAGAAATAATCTCTATGTTTTAGACATGAGTATATATTTATAAACTATATTTGTAAACTAAACCCAGACAAGTAATTTCTTTGTGTCTCTTCTGAGTTTGAACTAGAAATATGGTGGTCAATCATCTCATGACACAAGACTCTATAGAGAAGAGAGTGAGTGCCCAGAAAAAACACATAGTTCATAGAAGATCTGGAGAGTTTTGAAAATAACCTCCCCATAAATACTAAAGGAGAAGAGCTAAGCACAGCTTTACATCTAGAGGAAAGGATGGTGATCACAAGGTGGCCCATGTCCTTAAAACTATGCTGTAGCAGAGTGGTGTGCTACATGCTGAGTGTATTAGGTGCACACATCTTCATGTTACAGTGTGTGTGTGTGTGTGCATGTGTGATTGCATGTGTGTTTATGTGTGTATGTGATTGCATGTGTGTTTATGTGTGTTTGTGTGCATTTGTATGTGTATGTATGTGTGTTTATGTGTATGTGTGGTGTGTGTGTGTTTGTAGGTGTGTGCATGTGTGTGTGTGTGTGTAAGAGAGGCAGAAAAGCTTTGATGCTATTTCCTTGTTTAAGCAGAATATAAACCAACCTTCCACTAACACTTAAAAGCTCGTTTCTACATTTTTAATTTATGCTCTTTAAAAGTTTAGCAAAGAAAATTTTACCTGCAAGATGGCTCCTGCATATTGATGGAGTGTTCACATTTCCCATGCATGCAGAACCCGTTGTAATGTTCTGGACAAGGTATGTGGTGTTCTCTGGCACTTTCTTCTAATTTGTTAGCATTCTCTGTAAATACAGATAAAGGCAAGCACTCCTGTAAATACTTTCTGTGCCTGGGAAGATCAACCAGTACATTAACAAGAAAACCTACAGTAGGCACAGCTATTTAAAAGGGCAAGAACTAAAAGGAAGAAAGAGGGAGAGAGAATTGAAAGACAGACATCTTTACAATTATGTTTAGAGATGAAACTGCAAAATTACCCAGAGCTTTTCATGCTTTTACGCAATTTCCTACATCTTTAACAGCCACTGATGTGGCCATGAGTTGTCAGACAGCTTTAATTTTACTTGCATAGAGCCTGTACATTGATCATAAAATAATCCAAGAAGAAATTCTCTATTTTTTGAATTTCAAAGCATTACATCTCTGAGATAAAATTGCTGAAATACCTAGATAGTTTCCCAACATGAAGCCTTAAAAGTTAAAATATGGGCATGTTCAATTGTTAAACATTTTCCCAACCAAATGCAAATTTCAACAAATGTATCCTGTCAGGTGCTTTTATAATATACTGTGAATTTGAGCTTTTATTTTTTTGGTCCTAGCATCCATACATTTTTACTACCACAATAATGCAATTGAAAGATTAAATATTGTTTTAGAATACCTTATATAGATAGCCACAAAGTTCATGCTAATCACTCTAAGTTTATTTCAAACCATGAGGCTCTGTACCTCATCCGGGCAAAACAGTAGAGCTGGTCCTGGTGGTGTTAGTGCGGGTTAGCAGGACCCAGGGTTGGATGGGTAGGAGAACTGGCTCCACTCCTTGATGTCTGCTCCATTGGGTGAACTAGGTGGGGCAGTGCTGGAGAGCTCGCCCATGTAGTGAGGGGAAGCTAGCGGGGTGACCAATCCAAATACTACCTGGGCCCACAACCAGGGTTAGGAGTTGGCCCACCACAACATCCATCTAATCTGTGAACTGCTGGAGTGTTTGAAGGGACCAGACCTGCAGATGCAAAGCTAGAGATTTCCATTGCATGTGGTAACATTAGGAAATCCAAGAGGAGCCTCAGTAGATAGTGTATGTAGCAGAAGCCAAAGGCCTGGAACTAGATGAATAACTCATTGCAATGAACACTTCCAAGTAAAGATGTATGGACTAAAGGGTGTACTGTGTGACTCAGTGGACCACACTACACCCTTCACACTGAGATTTTTGTCTTTTGTTTGTTTTTACTTAAAAAAAAGATTTTTGGAGGGGCAGTTTGCAAGGGCAGAAGGCAGAAGTGAGGGGATGGGTTGATGGATGGGATTAGAATGCATGATGGGAAATCCAAAAAGAATCAATAAAAAGTTAAAAAAGAGAGAATGATTTGTGACATTTAAACTTAAGGAAAATGAAATACCTTATGTTATAAAATGAAACACTAGCACTGCCATTAGCAATTTTGTTTCCTAATGCTTTTAAAAAACCATATAGGTGCCTTCAGGGCTTTATTTGAATTCACGTTTGTAATACCATCTCCAAGCAAGTGGTTCCTCAATTCATTCTGTGCTTATTTTATAATTATAGAAGGTCTGGGCTGGAGAGATGGCTCAGTGGGTAAAAGTACTTGCTGTGCAAGCATGAGGACCTGGGTTTAGATTATATCATTTATGTAAAAGGCTAAGTGTGGTCATATGCATGCCCACAGTCCCAGTGCTGTGGGTGTGGCTGGAGACAGAGGACTTCTAGGGTTCATGGACTGCCATTGTTGGTCCATATTCAGTGAGAACCTCTGACTCAGTGGAGTAAGGCAGACAGTGATAGGTGAGGTCACATGATATTCTCTTCTGGCAGGCACACACAGACACACACATAGACTCCAAGACACACACAGATACAGGCATACACATTCTCATACACACAGTTTTGTCTTCATTGTCTCTTCTGAAATGGTATTCTTGAAAATTTCTGCCTAGATAAATGAGAAGTATAACTTTATCAACCTCAATCTAAAGGTATTTTTCAATCTATAAGTATTCCCTAGCATCACAGTAACTGGTCAGCAGTAATGAAAGACTGCAAGTTAATTACTGTTTTTATGGGATGGATTACTTCCCATTATCTCTACACAGGGGCACCGTGTTTTATTATAGTGTGTCCTTATAATTTCACTGGCGGTCGTGGGTGCTGAGCATATTCATCAGGAGAAGGATGAGCCTTTGCCATTCGTGAATTAGATGGATGTATTATTTATATTTAGGCAGAGCTGTAAAATATCTTTCTATACATTTTAAGATCTAGATCCCATCTGCAAGTCATTAAAGTTTGAAGCAAACTGTTAAAATATTTAATGCTTTCTTTTATGGGGATATTTATGTATATTGCTCTGATGGGTAATAGTTCAAGTTTTATCCCTAAATTTATAGTATATATTGTAGCGATAGTAGAGGGATTGCAGGTGACATTTCAGGATTTTGTTTGTTTTAGGTCTGTGTCATTTAACTATGATCTTTTGCTTTAAGATGTTTCTACACTGAAAATTGTCATTAAAATTTGTGAAATACTTCCATAGAAAAGATTGTGAACATATGGGTATTGGTTCGGTTTCTCCCATTCTTTAAAGTATTGCATACACTTTAGCTAATTTTTATGGTAGCAAATTATATCCACAGTAAGGTCACATGAGGAAATAAAAGTAAATAGTGTAAAATTTGACTAAAATGGAATCAGGATAACCATGGTATTTAGATGCACCTTGTAATGACCTGGCTATTTGAGAATCCACAGAGAGAGAAGGCTTATTTTTGTGATGGGTCGAGGTGGCAACAACTGGAATAGGCAACCCAGGCCCTCACTCTTTAAAGAGGATTTCGAAGCTGTGGGGGTTATCAGCCCCACTGCTAATGAAATGAGCCAGCACTGATTTCCACTGTTATTTCTGGCTCTTCTTCGCATAACAAACTATTCAACACTTCTATTTAGTGTTCGTTAGTAACACTCCAGTGCATCTGCACACCTGTGTGCAGGGAAGTTCTCTGACTTTCTGCTTTCCAGTTATACACAACCTTTTCTGTCAGAATATATCTCATCTTATTAAAGGCCTGAGTCTCTTTCTGCTAACTATAAAAGGCAATCAAGACTTTTCTTAACTGAAAACCTAGTCCTGAGGCTATTTTTATAGTGTACCTTACCCCAAACTGTCGGTACCTGTATTCAAACAAAGTCCAAAATTGTGAGCTAAGGTCTAAACGTTAAATAGGAGCTTTTTAAAAATGAATTTTTTTGCCTCACTGTGTTAAGAGCTAGATTTTTTTCCTTTTTGCTGTCTAGGGAGTGGTAACATGGGAGGGAAATAGTCTCCATTGTCCAGTCTACTAATTAGTTTATACCAGTACTTGTGAGCTTATAGTGCTCTGTTTTGCTGCTCATACGATACTGTCAAATAAGAAAGTAGAGAAATTGAAAATAAATGAGTAGAAGAAATGATCCCTGCACAAGAAAATGAGGAGTCATCAATATATGTCAACAAATTTATAGTCAACCCAACCAAGTAAACCAGTTGATTGAAAACCTGAATATACAACCACTTCTAGTGATGCAATAGACATACTTTAGAAATGAGATTTAAGTATATTAAGACAAGCAGAAACCCAGAAATCTAATATCTCAACAAATATATGTATGAGTCATGGTAAATATTTGTGAACCTGAAGTTTATGTACACTGAATATTCAAGCAATAACAAAGCATTTGGAGATTTGAAATTATATAAAAATGATACTTTGGTGGTGTACATGCTTTTACAGTGGCTGACAACTTAGACATTGATTTCTCTGTTTTCCATTTAAAAAGGTTTAATGTAAGGAGTATACTCTCTCTTCTAAGAAAGTTTGTGAGTATGGTACAATCTTTTCATGCCTCTGTTAAACTCTGCACCAAGTTTCCTGTTTAAGTGTTTACACATGGTTTCTTCAGAGAGAGAATGTGACCCTTCTAAGAGGTGATCTTTGGTATACCTTGAGTAATTTGTAGTGGAGCCAAGAAACCACATGACCATTGCTAGACAACAACTGTCAAGGAATGTTGAGGAGGGATGGTCTTTAGTACAGTTACACATGTTGTTATTTGTAAAGGAAGATATATGTGAAAAACCAGAGACAGAATGGCACAAGGTTCAGCCTTACCTGATGTCAAGTCACTTATGAGTATGTAGAAAGGAAAGGAAGATAAACTGATCATCTCAACTTTTGTCAGTGCTGCTCAAGTGAGGTGTGTTTGTGTGTTTCCCTTTTGTTCTACATCCTTGATAATCTTGACAATGCCACTAAGCAGACAAACACCACCCAAAGATCAATCAGTTTTGCACTACAATCTGCACAGGACAATTTTAAGGTGGCTAGCTGAGATGGTCCAGTTTCATGCACTATTCCAGCCAGGACTTCAGATAAGGCCTACATTTTCCCATTACACAGAGACAGGCAATAAATGATACAGCTAGCTCTCCCAGGACTTGACCATTATTTCAATTTTGTCAGTGTCTCCTAGGGATACCATTGCCCTCCAGACAATAGGAAACAATCTAGAGAATACAACATTTCCTACAAATTCCAAGAGGTGGAATAGGTGGTTTTTGGTCATTCCGTGGATTATGGATATTTGTCATTGTTTAGGTAGCTTGGTTACAAGTTGTTATTGGTAATGGTCAGGAAAAAAATAAACAAAGGAGATTAGAAAAAGGGGGATATAGATATAGAAATTATAGGATAAAGGGGTAGATTATTGAATCTACTTTTAAACGAAAAAGTAACTACTAGTCTTAAATATTTTACATTGGCATGAAGTTTTGTATATTGATACAAATTTGAGGTTATTTTTGTTATTCTGTATATATTTCTATTCTTGTTTAAGATAAGTTTGTATATTGATACAAATTTAAGATTATTTTTGTTAGAACATGCCATACATATGTTTCTACTGTTGTTTAAAGTATTGCACCCATGCATCTCATTTAAAAATGTAAAGTAAATATCTAGTTCTTGAAAGTTATTATGACAAACTATTTAGGATATTAAA